TATCTCACCGATTTCCCTCTTTCTCATGGCTGAATAGTATTCCATTATATATATTTACCACATCTTCTTTATCCATTCATTCGTTAATGGACGCACTTGTTTCCATATCTTGATTGCTGTGAATAATGCTGCAATAAACATAGGAGTGCAGATATCGCTTTGATATCCTGTTTTCATTTCCTTTGGATAAATACCCAGAAGTGGGATTGCTAGATCACAAGATAGTTCTATTTTTAATTTTTTGAGGCAGCTCCATACTGTTTTCCATAGAGGCTGTATCAATTGACATTCCTGCCAATAGTGCACAAGGGTTCCCTTTTCTCTACATCCTCATCAACACTTGTTATCTCTTGTCTTTTTGATGATAGCCATTCTAACAGATATGAGATGATATCTCATTGTGATTTTGGTTTGCATTTCTCTGATGATTAGTGATTTGAACAATGTCAAACACTTTTTCATGTACCTCTTGGCCATTTGTGTGTCGTCTTTGGAAAATGTCTATTTGGATTGTTTATATATTTTTTGCTATTGAGTTATATGAGTTCTTTATATATTTTGGTTATCAACCCCTTATAAGATATATGGTTTGCAAATATTTTCTCCCATTCCATAGGTTGTCTTTTCATTTTGTTGATGGTTTCCTTTGCTGTATAGAAGCTTTTAGTTTGATGTAGTCCCATTTGTTGATTTTTGTTTTTCCATTTTTTTGGCTTTGTTTTTGGTGTCAAATCTAAAAAAGTCATTGCCAAGATTGATGTCAAGGAGTTTACCCCCTATGTTTTCTTCTAGCAGTTTTACAGTTTCAGATTTTACATTCAAGTCTTTAATCCATTTTGAGTTGGTTTTTGTGTATGATGTAAGATAGGGGTCCAGTTTCATTGTTTTGCATTTGGCTGACCAGTTTTCTCAACATCGTTTATTGAAGAGACTGTCCTTTCCCCATTGTATATTCTTGGCTCCTTTGTCATAAGTAAATTGACTGTTTATGCATGGGTTTATTTCTGGTCTCTCTATTCTGTTCCATTGATCTATATGTCTCTATTTATGCCAGTACCATACTGTTTTGATTACTGTGGATTTGTAATATATTTTTAAATCAGGAAGTGTGATGCCTCTAGCTCTGTTCTTCTTTCTTAAGATTGCTTTGGCTATTTGGGGTCTTCTGTGATCCCATACAAATTTTAGGATTGTTTGTTCTATTTAGGTGAAAAATGCCATTGAAATTTTGATAAGGATTGCTTTGAATCTGTAGATCTCTTTGGGTAATATGGACATTTTAACAATATTAATTCTTTCAATCCATTAGCATGGAATATCTCTCCATTTATTTGTGTCTTCTTCAATTTCTTTCATAACTATCTTATAGTTTTCATTGTATAGGTCTTTCACCTCCTTGGTTAAATTTATTCCTAGGTATTTTATTCTTTTTGATGCAATTGTAAATGGGATTGTTTTCTTAATTTCTCTTTCTGATAGTTCATTATTAGCGTATAGAAACATAACTGATATTTTTATATTGATTTTGTATCTTGCAACTGTAGTGAATTTGTTTATTTGTTCTAACAGTGTTTGGTGGAGTCTTTAGGGTTTTCTATATATAATATCATGTCATCTGTAAATAGTGACAGTTTCACTTTTTCCTTTCTGACTTGGATGCCCTTTATTTCTTTTTCTTGCCTAATTACTCGGGATAAGACTTCCAGTACTATGTTGAATAAAAATGGTGAGAGTGGGCATCCTTGCCCTTTTCCTGATCTTATGGGAAAAACTTTCAGCTTTTCACCATTGAGTATGAGGTTAGTTGGGAACTTGTCATATATGGCCTTTATTATGTTGAGGTACATTCTGTCTATACCCAGTTTGTTGCAAGTGTTTATGATATTTTCTTTCTCAGTACTTAAATTTACTTTTTTTCTTATAAGTATATAAGGCTATAAATATCCCTTGAAATACTACTTTAGCTGCATCCTATAAGTTTGTTATTTTTTATTTTAGTTGTTTTAAGTATAATTTCCATTATAATTATTTTTTACCAAAGGATTTGGTCAATTTTTAGTTTTCAAACTTATTCAGGGCTTTTGTTATTGTTCTAATTAGTGAATGTGGTCTACAGAATAATAATTCCTTGAAATTTGTTGAGAAATGGCCTAGAGTTGGTCAGTATTCCAATAATCGTACCCTATATTCACTAGATTATGCTTATTAATAGTGTTGTTCTAGTATTCTATATCCTTTCTCATTTTTTGCTGCTTCATTTTTTTAATTGTTGAGATGATGTAGTAAGTTCTTTCACTGTGATATTTGATTTATCAGTTTTTCCCTGTGGTACTTTTAATTTTTGCTTTATATTTTTTGAAGGTAATTTACTAAATGCATACAATTTTAGAATTCTTAAATTTTCCTGATGTAATGAATTTTTTATTGATATGTAGTAACCATAAATATTTAGTAATTTTTTTATTCCTTAAAGTCCATTGTGTCTGATATTAATAGAGTCCCACCAGTTTTCTTTAGGTTAGTATTTTTCTAGTATAATTTTATCTTTTCTTTTTTTACCATGTTGTATCTACTCTGACATGCCTTCCATTGTAAATGCATCTCAATTCAGAGAAAGTGGTTTGACAGCAATAGTAAGATGTCATCAATTGTAAGCTATACCTTGATTTCAGATATGTTAATATGTGAAAAAATGTACAGCAGGAATTTATGAAATAGAGTGCTTTCAACCTGTGTTCTTACGTTTTTAAGTATATCTTTTAAAAATAGTACTTAACTGGAATTTTAAAAATCTAGTCTAAATAGGCTTAGGATATTTATTGATATGGTTGGATTGATATCTACTATTGTACTTTTTGCTTTCTGTTTGTCCTACTTTTTGCATTTATTTTTCTACTATTTCTGTCTTCTTTTTTTTTTTGGATTGATTTTTCTGTTCTCCCTTGATTTTCTTCCTCTACTAATTTACAAGTTACTATACTTCTCTTCTTTTACTGGTACTCCATTAATTTTGATATGTGTATTTAAAATTTAACATAGACTCAAGTTACCACCTATCCAGATAAATGAGGACCTTGTATTAACTCTAGTCATTTCATTCTTGACATATGCTATTACTATCTAGAATTTTAGGTCTGTCATTGATTTAATTAAAATTTCATGAAGTAGGCATCGTTGTTAGTGGTTCATACTCTCAGCATTTGTTTAGGTTTTCCCATAAGTTTACCATTTTCTTTGCTCACTATTCCTTATTGGATCATTTTCCTTTTTTCCTAAAGTACAATCATTGGAAGTTCTTCTAGTTAGAATTTGTTGATACATCTCTCAGGTTGTAGTTTTCTGAATACAGTTATATGCTTATACTGCCCCCTTTCTGGGAAGATAATTTTGCTGGATATGCTATCCTAGTATAGCAGTTATTTTTTCTTAGCATTTTGCAAATCTTTAATAAATATTATAATTTCTTTCATCTTATCTTACATTTTACTAATTCCCTCTTCAGTTACATCTGCTTTTTAGCTCATCCATTTAATTTTTAATGTCAAATATTATTTTCGAAGTTCTACTTGTCTGTTTTCCAAAGCTGAAACTTTATCATCAGCCACTGCTTTCTTTTCTCCACTCCATCCAAAGCCACAGCTGTGACAAGCAAATTTCCTTTGGTATGTGTTTGTTTATTGGTTTATTTCCTAGATTATCAAATGAGAACTTCTCCTTGGTTGGAGAAGGAGAAGTTCTTTATGCAGAGGTCTCTGATTCAAATTTTGCAGCATGCTTGGACTCCACACTCAAGATCCCAAAAGATACAAACACAGATCACAGAGGATGAAATATAAAATATCTTTCTTTGACCATTATGATATTTTCCACCATTATATCTATGTTAACCTATGAAATTATCATTTCTGGCCTGGATATCTCTTGTTTCATATTTTCTTGGTGTGTTTTCCATCTCTCTAATTTTAATTCTTCTGTATTCATGTATATCTTGCAGAGAAGTTATTGTTGGCCCTTATTTGTCTTAATCAAATCTGAACATCTGGCTTTTGGTTGTTGAGTTTAACCTATTTAAGATTTTTTTAATTTCTTTTGTATTAGGGCTCAGTCTGCTGTCTTATTTTTTGTTTTGAATTTATTGTATTTTCTTATTTTGTCCCTCCATTTGATCAGAGTTCCTTTTTATACTTTGAAGCTTATACAGATTATTTTTATGCTCTGTTTCTTATATGTTAATCATTGCTCATATATTAAAATTTAATTTCCCCGCTTCCTTTTTAAGTATATTATCACCTATATCTTTCTTCTAAACCAGATAGCCATCTTAGCACACTTTCTTCTCATTTAGTTTCTCCTCTCCTTTTTATTCACCTTATTCTGTACTCCTCTACCATATTGATGTCAGAATGAATTTTAGATACAGATTGTAATGGATGTTCTCTCTGGTCCACCTCTGCCTCTCCTTCCCCCGATAGAAAATGCTTAGGCATGACTAGTTTTTCTGAACTTATCTTCTCTTTGCCAAAGCTGAGCTGACCTTGAACACTACCCCGATATTATACCCCACTGGCATTAGGCTGTAGTCCTGTTTGTCTGCCTTGCAGTGGAGGTTGGACTGGCAGTGATCCACCTGGAGAGGTGAAAAGAACCCAGCCAGAAAGCTCTTCCCAACACATCTTGAGTTTCTGGTTCTCTTCTCTGGAAATCGTTTCTCTCTCCTCAGGACATTCTCACAGTTTTTATGTTAATTCCTTAGTTGTATAAACTCACTTGAACTTTGGCAGCATCTTTAGGCTTGACTTTGTGAGAGGTAGTCAGCAGCCCATGCTAGCTTGTCATTTTTTTCAGAAAGCTACAGTCTATAATGTCATCATTATAACTGTATATTTAGTGCTAAATATTTTGGGGTTTTCTCACTAGTAGCTTGCAAATACAGAAGTATTTCTTAAAAATCAAAGTGGAACATACTACTAACTTTAGTTTTTGAATTTTAATCTTCCTAGTTCTGATAGTATCAGCAGTGATGAGGAAGAGCTGAGGACTTTGGGAAGCAGTGGTAGTGAAAGCAGCACTCCAGAGAATGTCGGGCCTCCTTTCATCATGGACGAGAATAGTTGGTTCAACAAGTGTAAGCGAGTTAAACAGAAGTATCAGCTAACCCTGGAACAGAAGGTATTTATCAGTTGTCAGAAGCATTTAATTTGGTTCTCATTATTGCCTTTGGACTGTCACTGCCAAAAGATCTTTTAGCTGAATAAAAGTCTTTACCCATTGCTACTTCTTTTCTGTTCTTGAATTGTCCTCTTCATAATTAAAAATCAGGCAAAGTTTTAGGAGAAGCTTTTATTAAACTTTTTCTAATTTTATGTTTTAATATAAATATAAGCCATTTATTTTTCTGTATGCAGTTTCATTTATATGTTTGAGATTTTAGTTCCTATGATTAATTTTATAAAAGATTATTTGGTTTATGAAAATGCAGTGATTGCCTAAGCAAATTCCATATATGTCTCTCTCTCTCTTTTTTATTTCTTTTTTGCTGGGAAAGATTAGCCCTGAGCTAACATCTGTTGCCAATCTTCCTCTCTCTTTTTTTTCCCTGCCCAAAGCCCCAGTACATAGCTGTATATTCTAGTTGTAAGTCCTTCTAGTTCTTCTATGTGAGCCACCACCACAGCATGGTTATTGACAGACGAGTGATGTGGTTCCATGCTCCGGAACTGAACCCAGGCCACTGAAGCAGAGCACGCCAAACTTTAACCACTAGGTCATCAGGGCTGGCTCTCTCTTTTTTTTCAATGGAGTATTTTAACAGCTCTTCTGTGCTAAGCACTATACTGGGCAAAGTGGAGTACATAACAGAAAGGAAAATAAACTCCATTATCTTGAGGAATTTTAACCTCTTCTTTTTTACTATATTATCTATTTTCCCTTCTACCCTTCCTTTCAAATTATCATTATTCACAGATGATCTATATAGGGAAAGCCCAATGGAATTATCAATAAAAATATTAGAATAGTAAAAAATACACTGAGGAAAAGGGTTACAAAGTAAATTTACAAATATAAATAGATTTCCTATAGAAAAACAGCTACTGGTTAGAAAATAGAAAGAAAAAATCCCATTTATAATAGCTGCAAAAATGTGCATAATCTTATATGAAGAAAACTTTAATACCCTATTAAAGAAGACTCCTGGTACCAGCAAGAAGTCAGACTAAGATAGTCTGAAAGCCTGTACATTGCAAAAATCTGAAAACGCTGAGTAGAGTAGTACAATTTTAAAAGAGTTTTAAAAGAGCTGATTTCTCAGAATAGGAGCTCACTAGGACCAGAAACATAGAAGGACCTAAAAACAAGAAAAGTAAAGTCGCTGGGGTGGGGGTATGGGACCATTCCCTTAATCTAGGTACTTGTGTTTTGATACCAACAGGGGAACAGCAGATCTAGTCCCACTATCATTCAAGATGGAAACTGAACCTAGAAGGCAGGAGTGAGATGCAAAATGGCAGAGTAAGCACAGAAATTGGTAAATAAACCTTGACTACATGAAACAACAGCAGTAACATTAATGACCAATAGGAAATGGCAGTGGTGTACTGGAATATGTTTAACAACTTATTTTCACAGAGGAAATAGAACCCTGATTTGTAGCATTTGCTGATTTCTCTGGGGTAAATGGTCCCATCATGGCCAACTTAATGCTATCAGTGTAACATCACTGGATATAGAATTGAGTAGAGATGCACAGTAGCACACCATTATATAGTATTTCTACCAGACAGACACAATAGATGTAAATTACCTCAAGAACACAGATAATAATAGCAAAATATGGTAAAATACTTAGGAAGATGAGTTTTGAGTAGTTATTTTCTTGTTTTTAATATAATTTACTTAATTGTAAGTTTATGTAATTTAACTTTTAATAGTAGTAGTGTTTAACAACTAAATTACAAAATTTCTGAGATTTAACAGTTAGCTCTCAAGAGCTGTACAAGCTGGCTGCAGCCCACCACTGGGAAGCAAAGTGGAACTAAAACGCTAAGTAACATTATCAGAAAGGGCGGGAGAGGATGATTGGCACTAAGGCTTTTTGAGGTCTCTGTTTTATAGTGAAGGAATATAGACACATTTTTTAATGTACATGCCTGTTTCTAAAGTTGCAATTAAAAGTAGAATATTTAACTTCCAAACTAATAATCAAGAAAGAAGAGAAATAAGGACAATTTGATTAATACAATAGAAAGGAGAAAATAAGAAAAAATAAGGATTGTATAAAGAGAACACAAAATAAAGTGGCAGAAGTAAATCTCAATATAACCAAAAGAGTCAGCATCACCATAAACGTAAAGGGCATAAACTTGCCAGTTAAGACAAACTCTTAAATTTATTTTTAAAAAATCATATATTTTAGTTATATGCTACCTGTAAGAGATGTACATAAAATACAATGACACAAAAAAAATAGAAACTAGGAGGGTAAAGTTACAGTAGGAAAATACTAATCAAAAGAATTTTATATTAATATTATTCAACATAGACATTAAGGCAAAAAGCATTATTAAGACTAAAGTAAGACATTGTCTTTTTTTTTAAAAAAAAAAATCACCAGAAATGTATAACAAGCAGTGCTGAATTTACATGCATTTAACAATGTAGCCATGAAAAATATGAAGCAGAAAATAATAGAATATCCAGGAGAAATTGATAAATCTGAAATTACAGTAGGAAATTTTAACATTTTTCCAAATAATTTACAGATTCAATAGACAAAAAATTAGTAAGGATGTAGTGAACTTGAACAACACAATTAGTAAGCTCGATCTAAAATATATTAAATGCTAACAATTAGAGTACATATTCTTTTCAAGCACACGTGGGACAGCTATCCAGTTTTTATGGAGCATACCAGGTCACAAAGCAAATGCCCACGAATACCAAAGAAGTGATACAATAGTGATTACAATGCAGTCAAGTTAGATTCAATACAAAAAGTTTACCACCACCCAAAGACCACCAGTGGAGATTTGAAAAATAAAGACTTTTATTTTTTTATTTTTTTTTTTTACATAAAAATTTATTCCAACTGTTTATTTATTTATTTATTTATTTTAAGATTTTATTCATTTCTTTTTCCCCCAAAGCCCCAGTACATAGTTGTCTGTCATAGCTGCACATCCTTCGCTAGTTGCTGTATGTGGGACACGGCCTCAGCATGGCTGGAGGAGTGGTGCCTCGGTGCGCACCCGGGATCCGAACCCGGGCCGCTGGCAGCGGAGCGCACGCACTTAACCACTAAGCCACGGGGCCGGCCCTATTCCAACTGTTTAATAGTAAATTAAACATTAATATGGAAAATAAGAAAAGGCTCCTATACTCATCCCCCCCAGAAAAGGAGCTTTCTCTAAGAAAGGCACAATATATACAACGGATTAGGCATATCTGGGAACAGCAATACAAGGACACTAAGAAAATCCCAACAAATACAAACTATCATTTTCAATTGCCCCTAAATACAGAAAAATGAATACATTATTAAAAAATTGAAGACAAAATATTAGTTGATTTAAGGAAAAACCACTACTTAGTAATTTTATGTACTATTAATGAAAGATGACT